ATAGTTTAGGTTTGCCAATTTCAATACACTCATTTTCTGTTGTGAGATAGAATTACGAGTAAAAGCAAGGCAGGCCTAAAACTTAAAAGGGTATAAAGAAAAGCTTTATTAATAACATAAAGAAAATAATAAATTCAGAATAAGATCTTCAGACTACTCCCTCCTCCCCTCTTCCACACCTTCTTAACAACAACATACAGAAACACTTCAGTCAGTTCCCAACTTAAATAATCTTTCTCAGTTCACTTCAGGGAGAGGAGTTTCTTCTTGTTCGCCTACAGGGATTTTTCCACAGGAAGAAAAAAAAGTTCTCTTGTGGCTTTATTTTCCACTAAGTTCCTCCCATCTTCACAGCTCTCTCAAACTGTGTTTATGGACCATGTTAAACTCATGGGGTGTTTACTTCTAAGAACGAACCAAAAGTTCATTCAAAGAATGAAAGCGAAAGTTCTCTTTAGCACTCTTTTCTCTGTTCATACTTCATTCCTAGGAACAGAGATACCCTTTTTCCCTCGGGGCAAAGGATCTTCCGAACACTTCAAGCCCCCATATCTTTTCCACGATTTATAGGAATTTTTAGTGTAGTACAGCCCACCCACCCCTATAACTTACGAGAAGATTTTTCAGCCAACCTTCACAGCATCTCCTCCATCCGTCTAGAACTTGGCTCCTGCTTCACTGACTTTGGTGCATCCTCTCTGTTCTTTTTCCTTTCACTAAAGGGAGGACTGAAGGTCTGCCAGTCTTATCTGAGCACTGGAAGGGTTAAAATCTTATACAGAAGATGCAGGGGGCTGCAGCCGGCCATGCTGGAGCGGTGCCAGGATCTCGGGACACTCGGGCCGCCCTGGGGAGCTGGGTGAGGGCTGCCTCCGGTGCTCGCCTCCTTGCCCAGCAAGCGAGGGCGTGGAGGGACTCCGCCAGAACGGGGCCCAGCTGCCTCCCCCCCAGGCCGTGTGGGCGGCTGGGCGGGCTCGGCCACCCCATGGCTGCTCCGAGCCGGCGGCTGCGGTCACGCCGGGGCAGGAGGGAGGGCTCCGATCTCAGCAATGGCCTCTCCTCCCCCTGGCCATCGGGGCCCCCGGTTGAAAACGGGGCCCAGCGGCCTCACGAGCCCACCCCTGCCCGGCCTGGGGCCGCATGGGGAAGGGGCCCGGGCCAGTCAGTGTTACTTTGTAAAAGGCTGGAAATTAAAGAGAGCTTTTTCCCGGGTTTTACTAGCTTTTAAAATGTGGATTCATGGAGCGAACTTCTGCAATTGGTTCCTCAGGCTGTCAGTAACTAAACTAGCCTCCAATTGGTTCCATCAATTCAGAGAGGAAGTTCTCATGGTGAAAAACTTCTGAGTATGCCCTCCCCCCAGGTGCTTTCAATGCATAACCAGCACAGTACTGTCACTTGGTTGCTTTATCAGGAGCTTTGTTACATCCTCACCTGTGCCAGTTTCTGCCAGGATATGTTCCTTGTATCCTCAGAATGTTCAACTTTGGGATTATTGAATCAGGCTGGTCTCATCATTGTTCTACACCAAGTGCTGCATAATCCCCCTTCTCCATCCATCACTGATAACTTTTACAGTCAGGATATTGTTCAACTGCTTTAGCCCCACGGAGGCAGTGTCCTGCTCCAGTAGCCCTGGTCAGATGCCAGGACCCACTAGATGTGTGAGCTTATTGACTGGGGCTGTTAAAAGGGAAAGGGGGTGGAAGTGAATACCCACTGTTTTTTCAGTTCTCTGAGAAAAGACATGATAAATTTTGGGGCTTGCAGGATCACAGGGTGTTTAACAGCATGGGTCACTGGAAGTAGGGGAGGCGCTTCTCAGAGTCCCCAAAGTAGGGGGAGTTTGATTCAGAAGTACCAGGAAATTGTACCTTCCCTGGAGCATCGTGGAAGGCTTGGTCTATGAGTGATTCTGTCTGTGAAAGTAAAAAAGTTAATGCCTTGTAGGCCTTTCTAGTAGAAATATCTGCAGCATTGTCTAATGGCCTCACTGAGTAAGAGTGGCCAAATTATTGGAGAGAAATACTTGTAAATGGATGTACTTTCTGGAGCTTATCTGAAGTAGTCTGTATGTTACCATTCTTTCTGGTAGCTTACTGTATCTTGCTTATCTGACATGTATCTGTAGCCCTGTGAAAAATAAGACATGTAGCACATAAACTCTGTCACTGCCCCAGATGGGCAAGGTTCAACTCAGCAGAGGCTGTTACTTGGCTGCTCTTTGTGGTGCATAGCTCTGCAGATGCATGCAGTGATAAACTGCTGCTGTGCAAATCTGACTAGAATTGTGCAGGAGTTGCTCCACAGCAGAGGTTAGAACCTCTCAAAAACAGATCCTCAGGCTGGCTGGCTCTTAGGGAAGTCCCACTTGACTGACCTTGGGAAGGGCTGAAGGGGCTTATGGAAACCTGTGGACTACTGCAGAGGGTGAAAGAAATGGTCCCCTCCATTGTGATCAACTGAAGGCAGCATTTTGACTGCCTGTGGGGACACACAGATGATGATGCCATTGATGGTGGCATCTACCTCCAAGTGGGAGTCTCTGTAAGGTGCTGCCTCCATGGCACCTGGGAAGGATCATCAAGTTGTGTCTGGGGTGCTAACAATATGTCTGATAAGTCTGGGTAACCAAGGGCTGGGGGGGGTTGCAGTTGATGAAGTGATGGGAGGGGCACTGGGGTCCTGCCCCAAGGTGGGAAAAGGTGCAACATAGGGGATAATTGGCAAATCTGGTAAAACAAGTGTTGGGGCCCTGTGGGCCCCCTGGTTGGAATACCTGGGGCTAAATGGGCTTTCAAGATTCCTTGGGTCAGGACTCTTTAGCACAAGCTTAAGGGGGTTTTTAACTACCATGACATGAGGGGTTTGGTGGTAACTGTGGCTGCATCCTGACAGAGGAGGCAGGATGACAGAACAAGCATAGCAGAAAATAGTTGGTGTTGCATATAGATAAAACCTTATAAAAGAAAGGCCTTGTAAAACATGGTTTTGGCCTTGCTATTCTGGCTAAGCTGGCCTGTTGAGTTCCTGTGAGAAAAGAATCATAAGAATGAGAATCAGTTTGCATAACAATCTATTTTTGTGAGAAAAGAGTTTGCACCTGCAAAAGTAAGAAGTCTATCCTGTGGGAGTCTGTGAAGAAAAAATGTCAACGTATCTGGAAAGAAAAGAGTTTGATGGACGTGTATGCTAGCCATTACCAACCAATGGACTGAATTTCAGTGACTTGCTGACCTATTAGATTGAAGCACACAGTGCCTTCTAATACCATATAAAAACAAGCTGTGTGCAATAAAGATTCAGTTGTTCTGCTCGAAGAAAAAAGTGTCTTATCCGTCTAATTCCTATCTCTTAACACGAGCTCATAATGACAAGTTGGGACTGTGTGGTGCTGGGCACGGGGCACTGTGCCTTGCTGATGTTAGTGGGCTCTGAGTGGGCCAGGACTCCTTAACTAGAGGGTGCTGCTGGGCCTCAGATGGAACACAAAGTCATAGGACTTTATCTGGCACACAGGGCCTACATCTAAAGAATGATTGATAACCAACCTACTTGTGTTTAATCCCAAATTTGTGGGGCTGCCCCAGGAAATAGGCAGGGGACCTCGGTCATCTCAGGGCCTTTATCTTTGAGCATATGTTAGTGATACCAGAATAGTTGTGTTTTCCAATGGAGCTTGCAGTTGGATTCCAGACCCTACAGAAGGGCCCAGGCTTCTGATTCTGAAATTCAGGGGGTATCCACTTGTAATGTAACATATTTACAATTCAGGTTAAATAGCACACAGTAACAGACTTGTGAGAGTGATCACCTGATTTAGCTAGGGTTTTTGTCTGTGAAAAAGGACTGAGAGACACAGTTATGATGCCTCCATTGACACCATACTCAGTTTAATATAATAGTCGGTCTGATTTGTAAGCCCAGTCAGGCTTCAAGGAGGTAGGAATTTGACATATGATTGTCTGAAATCAAATTGGACCAAGTATTTCTGTCCTGGTTGTCTTGGTCAATCTTTGTTTCAGAAACTCATTTTTAGGCAGCTTCCAGATGCCTGTCAAGCTTTTCCTGGGCAGATAGAGCCATCACGGAGACCCTGTGGCCCTCTGATTTCTCTACTGTCACCTCAAAGCTTCTAACACAGACAGTGGCAAGAGTCATAGAGTTGTGTCTGTTCCAGCCTAAGTGTCCTGCTGGGCTTCAGAAACTTCATGTTTGTAGGGAAATAATTTGGACTTCAGCTGCTTTTAGATAGTGCTCAGCATTTCTAAGACCATGAGCTAACACAAATAGGCAGGTTAACTTTCCCTTCATGCTTTTATCTTTCTGACTTTTTCTATTAATAGAAGGGAACAGATAGTTCTCTCCGTGAGAGCATCTGGCACTCAGAGGCAAGGCAAGGCCCCAAACCAGTCAGTTCAGGCACTTGCTGCAAGGCTCAGGCCAGTCGTGATGCCATGTTCTGCATCCCTCTGTTGACACTGGAGTGGAGGAACTTGATGCAGCCTGGTGAGTTAGATTTGGAATATAGTAACAAACACCAGACCAACAGCTTTAGGGATAAACTGTTCATGTCAAAACAACAGATGATTATTGGGGATGGTCCTGTGTGATTCCTTTTATAGTAATTTCTGTAACACATAACTCAAATAATGGCTTGCAAGAATTTCTAGGTATATCCATTAAAACCTCCACCACTGGTCCTTTTGGGCCAGGTTATAGGGTTTAACATTACAATTAACCCCTCCCCTTGTCTCCAGCCTGTCTTCAACAGGGAGTTCCTAATTTTTTTTTTTTGTTTTGACGGTGACAATAATTGGATTTTACTCTTGTTGTGTGCTGCATGTAGTCAAAGTTCTTCCTCTAGCAAGGATTTTACAGTTACTAGTGGTTGGCATCTTAGTCTTGTTTGCCTCTCTCACAGTTATGTTCCCAGAAAATGTAAAAGTCTTAAGTTTCCTCAGCATTTGTCTAATTCAAGGATGTGGTTGTTTTATCAGGAAATACCCAGTCTAACATTAGAAGCCTGAAAGATTTACCTTGGATGCAAAAGCCTGTTTTCTCCACAAAGATTCTTGGATCACTGTAAGTATTGCATGGACACTGAATGTTTTGACAAATTTCACATGCTACTTCGTTTTCCTGTCTTCTTTTGTTGGTGTCTTATGAGAGCAGAGAAAGTAAAAGAGTGAAGAAAGACAGAGCTGTCTTTGAATCTTGAAAATAACACCTGGAAAATTATAACACTAGGTCTTTTATTTTTTATAGGCTAGATATGAGTGATACTTCACATTCTCAAATTTGAAATCAGAAGAGTCTTAAAATCTAAAAGAGCCCATGAAGAAAAATCAGGAGCCTTGGGTGATCTGGGAGAAATGGCATTAAACATTCTGTTGAGACACCCTACACAAAGCAAGGTGTTTGTTCTAGCTGGGTTTGACCATACTGAGAGGAGCTTGTCAAGATGCAGAGAAGCATTAATTCTTGTAGTTTGTCATGGGGGTTTTTGTGCTTTTTTGTGCGTTTTTGAAGGCTGAAATAGTGTCTGGCGCTCACCCATTTGGGTTTATTGGTAATCCATGTGCATTCTGGAATATAACACATGAAGACTTAGAGATATGTGACTTTGCTTCTGAAGGTATAACTACTGCAGTAGCAGAAGTGTTGTGTTGTCTCTATGCTTCATGCCTTCTCCCAGCTGAGTAAGTTAATGCTACCAACAGAATTAGGAGTGCTTTGCTTGTAGCTCACTAGAGGCACAGTCATATTTCTCAAAATTAAACTAGTGGGCCACATTATTATGAGAGATTTTTGCTAAACCCAAATTAGTCTTTCCATTTATTTTATTGTTTTTGAAGGTATAATTGAAGTTGAGTCTTATTGTCTGAAAACCCTGGCCTATATTTTATTCTATAGGTGTTTCTTATGTTCTGCTCTTAAATATTGTTTATTGTGTGTGTCATGTTATATACATACCTTGGGGTTTTTTCCTATTTCGACGAAGAAGATAAATACAGCAATCTATTGTTAAATTAAAAGATTGAATGATAATAAAATTAGCAGAATAATGTGAAGGTTTTGTTAGTCATTAGATAATCAATAGAGTTGTTAATTGCTTCTCTTTTATACTTTAACTGTGTTCTGGGAAACAATTTATGTAACTTGACACTGACAGTGCTGATGTCCACAGGTTATGCTAATGGGGTTGCTCTCCTACCAAGCAATTTAGGTTTGACAGTTCTGTTCATGACGCATTCTAAATCACTTCTTAGTAAGTGAAATAGGTCTTGATCAAAAGATTGTAATTTTTGTAAAATTTTTTTTTAGCATTTTGGATTTGCCTGAAGAAAAAGAAAACAAGAAAAGATGGACTGGAATGTAAGGCCAGTCCAGAATGCTGATGCAAATGCAAACCTGCAAAATAAAGGAGCATGTTTCACTCAGTTACTTCCTAATGGACATGCCTTTCCTCAGACAAATGCCAGCTCCTCTAAAAATGCCTGCACTTACGCTGAAAATAACCAAGTCGTCTATGTGCCAGCTGTCAATGTTGCCTTCCCTGCTGTAAATGGTGAAGGATTCAAAACTACAGATCAGACCTCCCCAGGAGCATCTGTAACTGGTAATAATTTTTTTATGTCAAAATACTCAGTTAAACGACATGAACAGATGTACATAACAGCTCTGAAACCTCCCATTCACAATTCACCTTTGCGACCAGAGATGACTACGACTTCTTGGCCAGTCTCTAATCCCTACAGTTATCCCTGCAGGAATTTACCCCACCAGCCCCCTCAAATGAACGCGGGGAATAACGTAAGGAATGTGCTTGGGGAGCCTCAGTATGCCAATACCAATGCTTACACTGTGCAGCCAGAAATGCTGCAGCCTAATTCTCTGAGACTTGCAACACTACAACAAGGTGGCATTCATCCCCAGAATAATTCTTTTCCTCTTGGTACTCCTGGGCAACATGTCCAACCCCAAATATTTAATTCCAATGCTCAACAGAGTAAAGTTTCATATTCAATAAATCAAAGTACTGGGACAAATGTACAGCTGCCACAATTTCAGCAGAGTCAGGTGGCATCAGAAGCTCCTAGAGGATGTTCTGCTCCATCTTTGTTGCCTGCCAGCTGTGTTTCAAGACCTGCAGCACAATCTTCAATGGGTGTACCACAGGAAGTGCAAAATGTACCTAATGGATACAACATTAACCAGCAGAGGTGCCCACTGGATCCAAAAAATGGTCCTGGGTTTAACAGTATTCAGCAATACTGTCAGAAGCAGCAATCTGGAGAAGTCAGTCAATCAGTCAGGAATGTCTGCAATCCAAGTGGAAGTGTGGCAGCAAATCCATCTTTTAATGAAAGCTCTGTGACATCCCCTGGCATTCCCAAGGCACTGCTTGATGTTGTGAAAGAAATAGAAGCTCTTTCTTCAAAGCCGCTGAGTGATCCTGCTTCAGTTCCAGAGAGCCAGACTAGTAGTTTGATGAATGGGCCTGTTAATGCTCAGATTTCTTCAGCGACAACAACACATGGAATGGGAATTACAAAGGAGAGACTAGCTTGGGAAGCTGAGAAGCTGAGCTGTCTTAAAAAAAAGGTTGTCCTGCTTGAAACGGTTCATAATTATAAGAAAAAAATCTATCATCACAAGAATACTCTCCCTCCTCCTCCTCCTAGTTATTCATGTTCTCCTGCTAATTGTCTTCCATGCATGCCCAAACAAAATGTACCACCTTCCCCATCTGAAGCAGTGAGGACAGAGAGGCCCATGCTCAAGGTTTCACATGAAGAAAGAAAGGACAAAAATCTAGCCATTGGTGATAACCAAAGATTGGAAGTGACTCAAAGTAACTCTCAGATAGAGCAGGGAAACCTTTCTTCAAGCTTCACTCCTATTCCCTCTCAGAGCAAAGTCCAAGCTCAATTTAATAATCCTGAGAGCTCCTTGGAACAAAGGGATGTGCATGCCCTGGCCTCTTCTCAAGGAACTGTGACTTCCTCGAACAATGCTTTATGTTCTACTCAAGCAGGGAGCTCTGTCAAGATTGCATCAAAGAGTTTACAAATTGGCCCCGAGAACTCATCATTTCTTCAGTTTGTATTGAGCAGCACAAATGTGCTGAAAGAGAAGACAGCTGGTGCTACCGCTGATAAAATACTGACGAGTCTACTGTGTAATGACAAACCACTGCTCGATACATCTGTCACGGGTGGAAGCTTGCTAAAAGACACTAGTGAGAAGAACGCAAAAAGTGTGAAAGGTGAGCAGGCATCTGTGGCTCATACAAACTCTCCTGCATCAGAAACAACTGCATCTGGTGATGCTAAATTCCAGACTGAGGTAGCTCAGAAAAAAACACCGTTTAGTGAGAATACATCCTGTAACCAGAGCAATTGTAGTTACTCTGTGGAAGAGCTGGCTGCATGCCTGCGCTTGTGGGAGAATTATCCATCAGAATCTGTAAGTGTGCAAAATAAACAGTTAAATGAAAGCACCACAGCAAATCAGGTTTCATCCTCCAACGAAAACACAGCGAAGAGAGAGAACAAAAATGTTCTAGCTAGCATGGATGAGGCCATTTTGCCTGTAACAACTACCTCTGTGGGACAAAAACTTGATACTTTGACTTCCAATTTGATAAAAAATTTTGAACCTCAAGTTGCAGTTGTCTGTCCTTTAGTACTTTGTGAACAAAGAACACCAAGTGAGCAGGCAGGCAAGATTCCAACACCTGAAAGTAAAACCTATCCCGTGATCAACTCGGGGAGCTCATGTAGCTTGCAAGAAGAAGGGAAAAGTGGTGTAAGTGTGGTAAATACTGCCAAAGGAACAATAGAAGATGCTTGGTCATCACCCAGTGATTGTGTTGTGGAACAAAAAGTGGACTCAGATTTGCAACAGATCAAATTAGGTGATGAAAACCAAAGGGAAGTTAGTCAATCTGCACAAGATGCAAGAAAACATCTGCAGCTTGGATTACAAAACAAGGCTACTCTTCCTGAATCAGGCACAAATTTTTGTAGTCAAATCTCTCAAGAAGGTATAAGAGACCATGAAGACAAGCGAACTGTTTTAGAGGCAGGAGATACATCCACAGCTGTGCTGGAAAATGACATGTTTTGTATTTCTAGTGTATGCTCTCTTGTTGAAGGTGATAAATTTTATGACCCACAAATAGCAGGCATGTTCAAGTCAGTCTATGAAACACATGCATCAGAAGGAAATGCATCTGGTGTAAGGCAAAAGGAACAACATCCGGACTTGCATAAAATCGAACTGAGCAATAACACTTCCCAAAGAGAGAGCTTGCTGCTAAAGATGTTGGAAGAATCATCAAGTCATTTGGAGAAGGAAAGCAGTGGCAATCCTCCTAATGCAGTTTCTACCCCTGAACAAAACACGTCATTCAAGGCATCTTTCAAGCATCCTGAAAATTACTTAGAAAGTCTTGCTAATATAAATCAGAAGTTAGCCCAAAATTCACTAGATTCTTCTATCAGCATAACTGCTAAAACAAATGCACCTGCTGTTCCAGAAAGCCACAGTAAACAAAATTCCATGCCCAGTAAAAATAGCACAGAAAAGGAGGTGAATTTTTTCGGAACAGAACCTAGTGGATATCTAAAAGATCAGCTACTTGCACTAGTGAAAGAGTTTCCATATGGCATTGAAGGTGCTGATATGCTAACAAGAGAAGCAGCACAAAATCATTCTGTGGCTGAACGGACAGAGAAGCAGTCTCAAAAAGAGATTAAAATTTGTGACAAGAATTCTCGTTTGAAGGACTCAGTAAATCAGACTAAAATTGCAGTGTTAAGCTCTGATCATGTTCAAGAACTGTCTCCGGGACACAGCCAGTGTTCCTCTAGTGACAGCAAGAGAGAAGTGAGTCAACAGTTAGAAAAGGCTTCAGCTGACAAGGACAACCTTGAAGGCAGTGTCCAGCCTAGCCAGAATCTATGTGAGCAGGAAAAAGCCCCACAAGAAACTTCTACTCCCAGTGAAAAAAGTGAGGATTGCTCTTTAACTGGTGGTGTATTTTCAGCATGTAAAACACCACATTGTCCCTCTNTTAGAAACATCTGGTTCAGAGAAAAATGGTTGTCAACTTTCTAAAGCTGAAAACAATGACTCTGCAGAGACAGAAGAAAACAGCAGTCAATCTGATGCCTTGAAAAAGAAAAACTGTGCAGTGGGAGACCTGACAGTTTCTGAAAAAATCCCAGACATTATAAGCAAAAATAAAGATGTTTCCAAATACACTACTGCAATGAACAAAAAACCTAGGCTAAAGGTGGATAATGAATACAAACTGCCTACAACACAGCAGGAAGAAATTGGACCAGTTAATTCCTTTGAAAACCAGGATGCTGATAAATACAAAAGCAGCAGTGGGAAGGAATATCTGCAAATTGATAAAGGAACTCAAGTATCAAGTAAAGAATTTCATTCTGATGAAAAAGAGCACCAGACAACCTCCCAAGAGTTATCAGAGAAAAATGATCGTACACATACAGACAGCATGGCGAACTTGTCCATAAAGAAGGAGAGAGTTTTCAAAACTGAGTCCCTTTCAAAAGATATAACCAAACCAGGTTTGACCATGAAATCCATAATGGACATTCACCAATCCATGAAGTCAGAAACTGATGAAATTGAGCACTCTGAAGTCAGTCAAGGACAAAAAATTCAAACTTCTGAAGGGAACTCAGCTGAAGAACAGAACTGTAGGAAACAAAAGGAGATGCTTAGGCAAGACGTAGGAATTAGTGTCAAAGAGCAAGCAAAATCACCAGCAGAAATAAAACATAAAAAATTGAGTAGTTACCGAGCTGATGCTGTAAAATTCTCAGATAGTAGCACTGTAGACTTCAAATCAAGACACACCAAATATTCTCAGCATAAATCTGTGAAACTTCATCCTTTGCAGGAGCAGCCATACAAACGGAAGATGAAGGAAAATATGGTTGGGAAGAGAGAACTTAAGAAAGCAAAACTAGAAGAGGAAAGACTGAAACAATCTGAAGCAAAGAGTTCTAAGCAGCTTGCACACAATTGCATGCTAAACGCTGACAGAACTAAAAAACTGAATGGAGAAAATGGTTGGAAACCAAGGAGTTCCTTAGCAGATTGCTCTCTGCTTAAACTGCAGAGAAAAAGGGCTCGATCTTCTAGCATGTCTAAGAACTACTTTTCTAGCAAAGAAAGACATCTCGATGGTCAAAACAAAGATAAGTGCTCTGAGAAAATGTTTCCCGATAAAAATCTTCTATACCTAAACAGAAGAAATAGCAGACTAAAACTGCATCTTCAAAAGGAACCCAAAAAACACTACCTGAACAGAGTGGCATTTAAACGTACAGCGCAGGAGCGCATCTATCTGACAAAATTAGAGACATCGCCTGTCAGACCTGTCTGGCATAAAACCACCAAAGTGTCACAAAGCAGCAACTCAAAAAGAGATGTGGCTGTCTCGACAGTTGAGAAATCATGCAAACAGGAAGTCCTTGAGTTCAAGCTGTGTCCAGAGATACTGTTCAGAAGTCCAGCCCCTGGTGAAGAAAGCTTAGCTGCAAAGAATTCTCCAGAAAGAGATAAAGTTGTTATAGAAGGTATGATGCTCACTCAATTATTCATTTATAAGTATAAACTATGTAGTCTTTTTAAATTCATGTTGCAGAAAGCTACAGACAGTGGAAACTTGAGACTGTAGAGGCTGAAGGCTGAGATATGCTAACTTGCTCTCTGACAGACGGCAGCTGTGTCTTAAGCTGAGAAAGAACATGGGAGTTTTCCTTCAATTTTCTCTAAGTCTTAGAGAATGAAATTAGAATACTTTGGAACATGGCAGTTTCAAGTAACTTTGGGAGATGGCTTTCTAAAGTACTTGAAGTTAGTGTGGCTTGGTTGTAGGAAATAGATTCCCTTGGCATAGTTTCCAAAGGTAATCTGATCTGTATTCACTGTTCACCTGGTTGTACATCTGTCTGGCTGGGCAGAGGAGCGAGGGATCTTTTGTGACATTGAGGAATAGAGCAGGCTTAGGCCAGACATATCCTGACCATAGTCTCTATAACCTTCACCATCTTTGCTTTAAGCTTCCCTTTTTCCTTCTCTTTTTCCCTACACCATTTTTCAACATTTTACGTGGTGCATTCTGAAGCATATTTCAATGATGTATTTGATTTTTAAATGAACCCAAATCTTAAGATGTATGTATCAGCCCTTGGAGTAATTTTCATACCCAAAGGAAATTTCCTTTTGATGTGTTTTTCCTTCCTAGCATTTCCTTTTTGCTAGCATATGTATTAGAATTTAATGCTGAATAGAGGCCAAAACTTGTGATATAGGAACCTCAGAAACATTTTTTGAAAATTTCTTTTTAGGTGTTAAAAGTAAAAAAGAAGATTGGTTAAAATGTGAACCAGTGAAGCAAAAGAAACTGGAAGAAATCTCTACAGGTGAAGTGACTTCTGAATGTTCCATTTGAAATACAAGTTAAATCCTCTTTGCTTGGTTTTAAATGTTCCTTTACAGAAGTAAACCTTAATAAAGCATTTTAAATTATTATTTCCTCATTCTGCTGATTAAATGGATACCATAGAATAGACTTACAAGTCTCAAAGATTTGTGTAGCTTTTTATTGATTTATGAATATGTTGTTGGAAATGTTGAAATTTTCCTGTGCTGTTAACTTGGATATAGCACTGGTAACAACATTTAAATAAGTTTAAAATTGTATATAAAGATTCTTTCACACTTTAAAATATAGGAAGAGATGTAGCAGAAAACAGAAAGTGATTTTTTAAATAAATCTGGCTTTCACAGTATGTTTCTACTGTCCACACATAACACCTATGCTCACAACTTCCAGGACGTGTGTCACAGTAGTCTGGACAAGATAATCTGTATGACACCCAGAGGAAAAGTCGGGTCACTATTAACATCTTCCTCGTTTTTCTTGAATGGCAAATTGCTTTTAGGATGGTCTTTTATACCCTCTAGGAGTCAACTGTCACAACAGTGGCAATTTTCATCTCAGGATCTTGTTTGTTCCATACTTTGTAAATCTTGGGTGAGGTTGCTTCCAGCTGTCCTTGTTTCTTTGCTTTAGGTACCTCTCTAGCTCTAGCCTTGTTTTGCTAGTGGTCTGACAGGAAACAAAATGCATTCTGTAGCCTTGTTCCTATCTGCTTCTTAGCTTTAGAGCAGAGGGCTTGCATGCTGATACTTGTGTTGTGGTGTTGCAAGTAACATAGTTTGAAACCTTTGCATCTTTTGTTGCTGTTGCCTGTGTCCTTGGGCTTTGGTGTCTGCCCTCTTTTTAGCCTTTCTGCGTGCTTCTTCTCTTCCTTTCACAAATGCATGTTTTCTGTCACACCTTTCTTAAAACGCTCCAGAAATCTCTCCTGTGAAGACCCCCAAATACCCATTTTGTGCTTAAAGATGCATTGGAGATTGTTTTAAATCTGAGGTGCCTGGTGTCTTAGGAAGGAAGTTCGTGGCATCTTTTTTGACACCGGAAGGTCGTAGGTACCACATGCATAAGGAGTAGAGTCCTTTGAGACTCTTGCTTTAACGTGCTTGTCTGTCTTGCAGCTGAGGACAGTATTCCCCTTGATACAGCTATACAGATCCTGAATGGAGATGGAGGGACTCTTCAGATTCCTGTCAAAGACTCAAAAGAAATGTTTCAGACCTACAGGAAAATGTATCTGGAAAAAAATATGCAAAAGTCTTGACAGCACTTCTGTATCAAAGGTCTTACTATCACTGAGAAAAAAATGCCAACACTAAGATGATTTTGTCCTGTTTACTTAATATTGCTGAGTAATTGTAAAAACCCAGTTTTCTGGTGAGTGTTGAAAATTTCCTTCCCTATTTTCCTCGAATTTGTGAATAATTACCATCTTATTCTGTATTTATTGTCCAAATATGCTTTGGTGCTCTAAATGTTGTTTTAAATGTATTGTTTCTTTTGGCATATTTGATTCTATTTTTTTTTTAAGATAGAGTAGCTCATTGAAACTTGACCAAAAAATAACAAACTCATTTAAACTGTCATAGCCTGTTTTCTTGCCTGATTCCCAAAAACTTCTACTTGTTATACTTTCCATTGCTGGCAGTAGAAAAATATTTCTGCTGCAAAGGGATTGCAGTGGATTCCCAAGCATTACACTTCTGTTTCCCACTTATGGTAGTCTGATAGTTTTGCTTCTAAAAAGGCTTTCTGTTTTTATGGAAACGTTTTTTTCTAAACTGGGAATGGAAATATAAACCCCTCAATTCAAGCACACAGATCAGGGGCATTTATGAAGTATTTATGCTGCTACCCAGTTTCATTACATTTCTTTTTATGGAGCTTGTATGGACTGAACTCTTGAGTTCTTAGTTTGAAGTCTTCAGTTTATTGAAGACTTCTCTTCCTTTTCTTTCTTTCTTTGCACTTGAAAGAAAAGTGCAATTGTTGAAGTGCGGGGAGTTCAAATTCACTCTTGTCTGGATTAAGTTGCTAAGTTCAGCTAGACTGTAATTAATTTCTTTGTTTATAAAGTGTTAGATTATGTTTGCTTACACATTCACTGACGTAACAGTTGTGTTTGTCATTGGCTATCTTATGTTTAAGTGCCTTTTCACTGTTACTCAAAATCTAAAATCGTATTTTTACAGATATTTGGTACTTGATTCTTTCTATCTTATTAAACCTTTATGCTGAACGAAAAACCTGTAGATACTTTACTGAACAATTTTTATACTTGAAATAAACTTTTGAGGACTACACTTTGTCTTTATTTTTTGTTGGGTTTTTTTTTTTGTTTGGTTGGGTTTTTTTTGTTCTAAAAGTATGAAGTTTTGTTTTTTGCAGTTAGTTAAATAGGCATTGAAGATATTCCTGTAGATGAAATGCAGCTTTAAAATTAATGATGGATCTTCCTTGTTAAAAGTACTTGCAAGTTTGTTAGTTCATTTTTTCTCTGGATGCCAAACTGTGGGCAATGTTGCCACTGGAGGATTTTGTAATAAAGTTGTCAATTCTGAAAAAGTTTTTCATTTTCTTGAGAATTTAGTTACCTGTATTATAGCCCGCATGAAGGAAGATAGATTTATTGCAGCCTTAAGTGTACCCAGTACAAAGAGTTCACGTCAGGAATTTAGTCTGGGTTTTGTTCTGCACAATGATACATGAAGCCAACATAAATGCTTGAGTGCATTCTTTTCAATAGGAAATTATTCAATCCATTGACCCATGATGTTTATGTTCTAAATATTTGGAGAAGTCTTCTCACTGACCTTGTGCATCCAATAAGCAAGAATGTCAATTTTTAGTCACAGTGGATACAGCTGTGTCTTCTTCCTCCCTTACACCAAAAAGTGAATCTTGGCTCTGTGACAATGTTTATGTGGTTACTTGTGCCTACGCTGATTTGGTATGGCTGGGATCTTTGGGATAGCCATGTACCTTCTGCTTGGTTCTTGTGTTTGTTGGTTGTTGTACAGTCAAGAGAGTCATGGATGATTTTTAACATAATGTTGGTTCAGTGGGCTCATTGGGTTCAATGATGCCATTTTCAGCTGGTTGCTGTTATTTTGAACTGCCCTGTGCAGTTACAGTCTCCAGTGTAGTCATATCATAGCAATTTTTGCTGGTATTGGAATCTCTCTGGTAAATTGCTGTGACTCTTAAGTTGGCCACTGTCCATTCAGACAGCTGCTGTTAGGAAAATATCTGTAAGGAACAGTGTTAGGGCTGCAAGGAGTACCTACAGGGAAAAGCCTGGAGACCATCTGCTCCACAGAATGAGCACTGTGGATATGTGCATCAATGTCACATGTAAACACCAAACATTTTTGTGATCATGATGGTTTGACAGACAGATACAGAGCAGATAACAACTGTCTCTAGCACTGCCTGTTTCACCTGTGGGCATCTCCAGCAACTACAAGATAAATGGGCAGTCACAGGAGCCAACAAGAAAAACTTTTTATAGGGAAGCCTGATACTGCTTCTCACCATTTCTGCTCTGCATCTCATGCAGCTAGCTATGGTTGAACCTATTCTGATGTGCAAGTACATCCAAAGCAAATTTCTCCCCTGATAAGACCTTAAACAGCTACAGACAAGACCTTAACATGCATGAGTTCCTAAACCTTACATTTTAAAACATTATTATGACAAAAAAGATACTTTTTATAGTAAGAGTATGGCAAAGAGAGCAAAGCACAAAACTGCCGTTTAATATTTGGAGGTGACTATTCAATACATACGGCAATTGGGGTTTAATGGCTCTGTATACTTCAATGATTTTGTGGACTTGTACTCATTTAGTACTGTGATGATCAATTTCCATACACAGTGTAAAGAAAGGCTCTCAGGGATTAGAAAGTGCAGTAAGGTGAGAAGCTCCACTGCTGCCTGGGAGGGAGGCAACTCTTCTGGGTAGTGCAAAGGGCTTTCAGCTATTCTGTACTTGTGGGAGATTTTGTGGCAAGGGAGATAAGAAACTGCAGAGAGTTGTTTCACAGTGTTTTGATGAGAACCTCGCTCACTCCATTGTTCTGTGTGTTGGGAACAGAAGGGCCAAATGCAGTTAATGAGGACTAGACATGGATGCTGTAGCTGCAAGTGCTGCTTTCTGTATGGAGCTGGTCAGACGTTTTCCTGGGATTCCAGCAGAAGAAATCCCTGTTGTCTTTTTGTAGACCTGCTCTGCCCATTGCCTCAATGAAAGAAGTGAGTGTATTGCAGTCTGCAGTGATGGCTGGAGAGGGAGGAGAGGTGCCTGGGGTGATGGAATGAAGCTGGGCCTGGAATGGGGGAGGAAAAGGGTTACTTGTGCATAAATAGTTGGGGTTTTTTGTTGGTTTTTTTTGGTTGGTTGGTTTTTTGTTGTTGTTGTTTTTTAAGAAAAATCCAAACCACTACTCAAATGTTTTTATTAACTGGAAATTAATTAAGTTAAATTTCCTGAGGCAAGTCTTCAAGTCTTATCCTGTAGCAGGATGCTCTGCCTGGAGTGGGGGTAAAACAACTCAAACCTATTTGGAGAACTCTGAGTGGTGAATGCAGAACAGGGTGCCACTCTGCTTCACCCCAAAAATGAGCTTAAGCACAAGTACCAAAGTAAGTATGTCTACTTGCCTTACTAGAAGGAGAATTCTGTTCTGAAATAACTGTTTTCCTGTCCTGACTTTCCCTTTCAACAGGGACAGGTTTTTGTTAAAAGCTTGGTGACAGGGTGCATTAGCTGTCATCTCCAGGAGAGTGGCTCCCTGTCAGAAAGGTCTAACACTGACTTGATTTGCAGCAGTTACTGTTAGCTCCTAATTCTTTGTCCTTTTTGTATCATATCCTTCTTCATTTGCTTATCATCATTTGAGTCAATCTAAATTCTTGAAAATTAATTGCTGAACAAGCCAACCCAGGTTTCTCTAGAGGAGATTAGATTGACTGATTCCTGCACTCTCAGCTTTTATTTAAGAGTCAGCCATGAATGTGGCAATGGGTTTCTTTCTCTGATAGATCAATACTGTGGCCTGTGGAAGATACCTCTCTTTTTTTTTTTTTTTTCCCCTAGAGGCTCATTAAAATGATTATTAAACTGAAAATTTTTATTAAAAATAACTTCTGCATTCATCCAAGAGTAGATAGAGCCTCTGGTATGAATGCAGAAGCACAGATGCAGAGAAGAAAAGCTGGTCTGGAGTGTGGTTTGTAAACTGTTAGACTAAATGTTTAAAGTTTCTTCTTCTGCACGTCGGTAGCCTCATATCCTTTGTTTACAACTTCTGACATATTCTTTTCCCTTCTCACTCGTTTTTGTAAGAGAAGCAGCGCACAGTGGAGAGTCACAGGAAAGGAACTGTTGAGCTGAGATGGGCCAGTGACAAAATTACCAAAGCAGCACAAACATATTTATCATTTCTTCTGATGGGACAGAGACTGGCCAAATCACAGACTAACTGCAGAACAGTGAGAGAATTGCTGACCTGGAAGTAATATATTTAGCGAATTGCTGATTTAACATCTGCTTGATGTTGCAAAATCCCAGTGCTTGAACCAGCTGCAGAGCGAGAGAGAAGGGATCACTTGTCTCTGGGTGAACCTGGGGAGCTGACTCCTCAGGAAGGCAGCTGTGGAATGCGGATGGAGTGATGGGCTGCCTCTGGGACAGGCTCAGAGCTGGCTCCCCAGGAATGAGGAGCAATCTGGCTCCGTAAATGAGCAAGTACAGAAGGTCACAGGTCACTACGAGAGGATGAAAGAGAAAATCAAATACTAAGAGGTAGGCTTAGCAAAATAGGATCAGTATTGAAAATCCCACTGTCTGGGAATCCACAGCTACAAAGACAAACACCTCCACAACACCTTGACACTTCAGGTTGATACCGAAATAATGAGAAAAAGGACTAATGTAGATATAGCAGTAGTCATGCTAAGGCTTAGAAAACTGCAGTTCTCGGACAGGCCCTGGGAACCAGCCCTGGGAATGAGTTGGGGACTGTGAAAACAATAATTAAAGATAATTAAAGAATTTAGTAGAGCATATAGAACATTTAGAAACTTTCAAGATAAGGCTAAAGTATAATAATAAATAAAGGGTTCTGGTGATGGGAAAACATGCAAGGGGGATTAAAGGGGGGTAGCCTATAGTTTTGAATAAGACAAGCATGCAGAATTTATAACTTTTAGGAATGATATCTACAAGATTTATGTATCTGTATTGTCTTGAAGAATGTGTACCTCTGCACGTAGACTACTTTGTAAAAAGGTATAAAAACCTGACGAAAAAGGGAACGGTGGGATTCTGACTTTGGACGCTAGTCCGCAGGTTCCCCGGGCCCTGAATAAAGCACCGCATAAACTAACTCTGTTAGTTTGTGTTCTGTTTGGGGCATCGGGCAACAAGGTGGGACACCCCTCATGACCATAGGCCCAACAGCTGCATCTTGCAGACCCTCTTGAGCTGGGAGAACTCAGGATTCTGGGATGCTTGTCATGCTCCATTTTACTAATATTTATCATACCTGCATGATGTTAGGTTTTTCGTAGTTCCATACTTGTTAGGTTTAGGCAAACATAACTGGCATAACTGTTTTCCTTATGTTTGTATTACTTGAATTTATCTGGCAATTTCTCAGAGCAGGAGCCTGCAAGCTGTGGGGTTGGAGCCTGGAGAGGCAGAGGCACTGTGTAGCTGCAGACACTTAGTGTGTTCAGCCTGTAGAGCTGTCTTTGAAGCCTGGAGGGGCATCAGAGGGCATCTACATCATTCATAATAAATCTCTAAGGGCATTCATTCTGCCCTGCACACACAAGAAACTTATTTTTACCCTAATTTAAGGAAAATATAGAGTCTCCTAAAAGAAAGGAAAATACATTATGCAGTCATTAGGTAGCAGTGGGGATTTGTAATTTGTAATTCCCAGCCTGCCTGGGAATTACAGTAACCCAAAAAAGGCATTGTATTAAAGGTTTAAAATGAAGAGAATAAAATTACTGTAAAAGGAGAATTCAGAAAGGAGAAATCCCGGGAGAGCTGGGTGAGAAAAGGCAGAAAGTGTAGAGAAAAAAATAAAGTTTAAGCTGCAGTTATGTTCAGTGAAATTACAGTGTAGTATTAAACTGAGCTCTGGCTATCACTACTAAGTCCACTAGATGACAGTGTGGATACTGCATTCAGTACTACAGCAACATCTGTCTGTCCTTTAAGGGGCTGTTGCCATTGTCTCACTGCTAGAAACCCAAAGTTTGCAATGTGCCTCTGCTCCCACCCAGGGGC